TGCTGAGCAATAGCATCCGTTGCTCTCTGTTTTCTGACTACAAATGCCGTGTGACCAGCTAGCTCACCCTGACTGCTTGCCTTTTCCCATGGTGCCCGCATCCTTTGTAGCCACATACCCAAAAGCCTTCTTCCCTTAAGCTTCAGGCATCTATCTGGTCACAACCATGGGAAAAGTAACTAATCCACCTCGTGAGGCACAGCAAAAACTTGAGCAATGGCGGCCATGACGTTCTAGTAGAGGGAGTGAGGCAGAAGCAAAGTTGTTCTGAGGGACTGCATTTGGACTAAGAGGGAAGGAGTTTGTCAAGCGTGGCCCGGAGAGCTGGAAGACGGGGTTTTGCCGTCTATGGGATTAGAGAGACTGGAGGTAGAAGAGGATTAGGAGTCAAGGTTCAAAAATTTGACTTTTAGGCACATTGAATCTGAGATGAGTGATAACTGCCCACGCCTATTTTGCACCAGGCCACCAGCCCTGACAGCCAAAGAGTGTGTTAGTGTCCCTGCCCTTTGAATTGAGGTAACACAGTGGCCCTCAGAGCTGAAATGTCTCACCCATCACACACACACACACAGCAGGTAAATCGAATCCACTAAGGACTCTAAAGAGAGCTGTCAGTTCTGAGTTGAATGCTTTTCCTGAGACACCCAGCCGAAAGTGGCAGAGCTTCGAAGGCAGACAGCTGAAGGGAACCTCCTCTCCTGTGACCTCTGCACACCGAGATTTAAGTCAAAACTTGCAGACTTTAAGGGAATCTGTTCTAAAGGGAGAGAGGAACTCAATCTCAATCCTCTTAAAAAGCAGTGAGAGTTTTTCCCCCTCCCCTTAAAAACTAAAACAAAACCAAGGTGAGTCTAAGGCCAGCCTGCTGACTGCATCAGAGGCAAAGACAAAAAGAGAAGAGAGGAGAAGTGGGCAGAAACCCCAAGTCAGTGGGCCAAGGGGCAGGCCTGGAGGCTCCCATTATCAGAGGTTAGTCGGGGGGGGGGGTTCTTAGCTGACTTAAAGAAAACTAAAATGTTAATTTTAGGTTCTTTGATACGTTTTCCTGGAGATATTTTGTTCTGATACATCCAACAACAGCCAAAGAGAAAAGCTCAGAAGACAGACTTAATAAAAATAGCCGAGGATCCAGGGCAACTGCACGTGAGCTCCATTTTCTTTGTCCTGTTCAGCTCCAAAAGGCAGATTACCAAGGTGCTGCAGCACCCACCCCAAGCAGAATTTAGAGCGAGCTTCAACATTGCAAAGCTCCTGCACTGGGGACTACTTCAGCTAATGACTCTGAGCCCTGTTAAAACTCAGATGTTTCTGAGAAGGATACAGACATGGACGTGCGATTCACTTTGGAGGCCCTGAGCTTGCGGGAGTACCATTAGGAATCCTAATAGCTCATCTTGGGAAACTTCTTTTGGGCAGATGTAAGTATGGCTTCTCTCGTGGCTTAGAAACCAGGCTTAGAAACTTTTTGGATAAAGAAATTAATGATGTCAGAGGGTGGTATAAAATTAGAGACTTTAAGGAAGATTGAGACCAGTATGAGTTTTTTTAAAATAATGCAACACCAAAGATATTGCAGAAACTATAAAGATATTGACCAAAGCAAGCAAAAGCAGGGGTTGAAGAGGGGTTGGGAGAGGGGCATGATGGGAGGGCTTAAGAAAGGTCAGGGGAGAGGGGACTTGTATTCCATACTCTTTGATAATGTTTGCCCTTTAAAGGGATAATTTTATTATTTTTGATTATGTGTTGAAGCAAGGAGGCATGTGCATGCCCTAAATGCCAGAGGCAAGGGACCCTCCTGAAGTCACAGGAAGTTGTGAGCTGCCCCATGTGGTTGCTGGGAACCAAACTTGTCCAGCTCCTAATGCCTGCCTTTTAAAAACCACGTGTGTGTATTTCATTACTATTTTAACCTGGATTAACATTAAAATCAAATTGTGTAAACAAGAGCATAGGGTTAAATGATGATTTTTTTCCCACTGCCAAGGGAGCTTAAAATTGAACACAGAAACAGAGAAGAGTAAAAGCAGGAAAAAATGAGAATTGACTATAAAGACAAGGTAGGGAGGAACATAGATCTATTTCTTGACAGCAGCTTCTTCTGCCGACTGTTCAACCAACATTTTGAAGCTACCTGGCTCTACATGTACTGTCTATATCCCTCCTATTTCCTTCTCTCTTTCCTGACCTCAGAAATTTTGGAGTTCTTTTTCTCAGCGGAGGTTGAGCCACCCCCTGAAGAAGGCCTGTAGGATGAGTGGAGAGTCAGCAGAGGAACCCATTTCTACCACTATCGCTCCGGCCAGGCTGTATTCTTACCTACCAGCGTCCCAGCTAGACCTTAAGGAAGAATTTTCAAAAATGAATTGCCAGAAGCAAAGAAAAAAGTGTTAATACATTTAAACATGCTTGAGGTGAATCATCCCTAGAAAGTCAGGATTTAAACATGCAATCATTAAAATTACTAATGTTGACTCTGGGGCCTGTGCTCTGAAAGCCAGGGATACTAGGCTTCCTGTTGTTATAACCTAACAATTCTTTGTCCACATAATTTGTGATGGTGTCTCAAGATTTTCTTTTCTTTCTTCCCAAGGAGCCCTGGTTTGGATAATTCCCTAGAAAACCTTTAGAAATCCTTAGCCACCGGTCAGTCCCCACCCAGGATGATCAGCATAGCTTCACAATGACATGTGAGCTCACCACTGAAAACAGCAGTGAAACCACTTACGTATTCATGCTGTGAATTCAAACACAATTTTATAGGGATACTAGGAAGAAATACTTCCTCCATTTTGAGGAATACACTATAAAAAATCAAAATAAAGCCTATTAACATGCTTTCGCAAAGTGTGTTAATATGGGTGATAAGCCTTTGCCCTTCCTAGTAAGAGCATCTTAATACACTGTTTCCCATTGGCCTTTGTGGATTAGAAGAATGGATTCCACTCAAAGATATTGGAGTGTGCCAACTTGAATGCCACTTTGGCACAAGGGGGGCTACTCTGAGCTGGTTAGCCAAGCAAATGACAGATTTGGGTGAAGTTTTAGCACACCCCCCCCCACACACACACACTTTCAGCCTGAAATGGCCCAGATTTCTGTCTGTTATGTCTATGGTGGTGCCTCTTCTCCACACCAGAAAGGCTGGATGGATTACTAAAGACGACACTGGCTTGAGTGTATATCAAAAGCCTTTACCAAGAGACTAGATTCTGCACAGCCATCATACACTTACCCTCTGTGATTTAATATTCAGGAAACCCACACGTGACCCTTCCATTGCCAGGCTCCTTGTTCTCTGCTACGATGGCATACAGACTGCTGTAGCTCTGAGCCCTTATTCCCCTGTCCCCCTCTCTGAATACACCCATATGTTCACATAAAAAATTGTTCATCCCATTGATCTTTGTGAGTTTATTTTTTCTAGCATCAACTAAAGAACATGAGAGTAAGGAAAGATACTGTGTGCATTTCACAGAGGAAACACAAGCAGAAAAGCCTGTGCTATGGATAGCATGGAAGACAAGAGGTCAGACTTTTCATCACTGCTCATCACTGGAAAAAGAAACTCAGCTTGGGGGAGACACCTAGGAACATCGAGTAGGTGTAGAGACGTCAGAGACAAAGGCAGCTTGGAGCTACCTGCCCCTGGAAGAAGCCCACATCCCACTTCATACACACTGACAGTTTTATTTCACTCTGTGTTTCTGAGCCAAGGTTTCGTATATCTCCACCTGGCTTTTGATTTGCTATATAGCTAGGGATGACCCGGAACTGGCGATCCTCCTGCCTCTGCCTCCCAAGTATTGGGATTACAGGTGCCACCATGCCCTGCTTTTATGCAATGCTGAGAATGGAATCCAGGGCTTCAAGGATGGTAGGCAAGTCCTTTGCCAACTGAGATACAACCCCAGCCCTGTATTTGAATTTATTCTCCAAAACTGTGAGTGGCATAGCCCTTGCTTAGTGTGTGCCAGGTCTTGGATTAGAGTTTTGGAGCCAGGGAAAGAAAAAAGTTAATTAAAAAAAAAAGACTTCATCCATTTGTCATAGTAACTGTGTACTGGAAAAAAGAAACAAGATTTAGGAGAAATTATTAAATGCTGGTTCTGAGCCTCCTTGTTCATGACACAACCAACTGTCAGGGTGGCTCTTCAGTCTGAATAACACCTAGTGAACTCAGGGATCTGGAAATTTGTTTAGCTGAGGCTGCCTCCATGTGCACCACTGTGTACCAAAATGATCTCATATTTATTTTTAAAAGTTCAGCAGATGTAGTTGCCACATATGTATTTGTCAATTAGCTAAGCCTTCGTGTTGGCTTTCTCATCTATGAAACAGGAGCGATGGTGGGGAGAAAGGCCACGTGGAAAGCCCTAGCATTTCCTCCAGACTCCTGAGCATTTAACTAGAGAAGTGCTCCATGCTTGGAGTGGGTAGAAAGCCACAGAGCTTCATCAAGAGCTTGGGAAATCCTAATGCATTCTTCAGACAGCCCCTCACCCTGAGCAGGGCACATGTGGGTCATAGAAAGGGATGGTGTGTGATCATAAAGTCCCAAGTTGGTGGCTCATTGGGGTCATGACAGATGTTTTCATTGTTGGGCAAATCAACACATCCCCTGCATTTTATTTTATCTAGTGCAGGTAGGGAGGAACTTGTACACACCATGGCCCTCATGTGGAGGCCAGAGGACAATTTTCAAGAGGTGGTTCTCTCTCTCTCTCTCTCTCTCTCTCTCTCTCTCTCTCTCTCTCTCCTCCTCCTCCTCTCTCTCTCTCTCTCTCTCTCTCTCTGTGTGTGTCTGTCTGTCTGTCTCTCTCTGTCTGTCTCTGTCTCTGTTTCTCTCTCTTCCTCTCCCTCTCCCCCCTCTCTCTCTGTTTCAGAGATTAAATTCAAGTCCTCAGGCTTGGTAGCTGAGCCATCTTGCCAGCCCCCAGGTAGTTCTTGGTGTGAGAACGGCTTTGTCATCAGTGTCATTTACTTTGCTTTCAAAGGCACTAGAAGCTTTGTGCTTCCAACTTGAGAGGTCCTTGATGTTTATGCCCAGTTCCATCACTTAGCGTCGGTCATCACTTGGTCTGTAGGACCCTGGTCATCTCTGTGCTCCACAAAGAAAATTCTTCCCAAATGTATTGAAGATAAGCTGATGGAGTGTGGCAAGAAACAACAATTATCTTGGAAATCTTGGTAAGACACATCTCTGCCCTAAGATGTTGTGGACGGGATCCCACTGAAACCCAGGATCCTCTGGCAAAGTAAGTAGTGCTAGAGTCACCTTTCTGTATGTGTGCAATCTGATACAGAAGACACCAGGTGAAGAAAGCTACTGGAGATGTTCAGTGATCCTAGAGCTGACTCTGTGTGAGCTGAATAAAGAACTTTGAAAACCCACAAAAGGGGCCAAGGATACTTGGGGAAAGAGCAAGGGGTTATGGGGAGAGAAAGACATAGCACAGAGGGGCGAGTGGAGCTCTGCCATACAGTTCCTTGGTGGTGGTTGTGGGGTGGGTGGGAGACCAGAGGCCACTTCTAAAAGAAATAAAAGGCCAGAAAGACAAAACAAACAAAACTCTTGGGAGGGACAGGGTGCCTCACAGAGTTCCCAGAAGGTCAGGGGGCACTTAGGTTCTGACCAATCGGAGCAGACCAACCTCCCTGAATTCCAGGAGCACCGAGCAGGCTTCAGGAGAGCCACACATCACTGGTGTCCTTTGGAAAGGAAGCTTGCGATGATGATACTGGATATTTATACTAAGAGATTTCTAAGCATATCACTAGAGGTGCAGCTTGGCTTCTTTTAGGAGCCACCTTGGCTCCTTCAAACTGTGCAGAGTAGAATAAGAACACAGAGGGATGATTTTAAAGCTGCAGTTGATACACAAAAAGGAACCAGAACTTAGAGCTTGGAAATGCTCCACCTATCAATAACACTTATTTGAAGGAAAAAAAAAAACAAAGCAAGTATGTTTGGAAAGCAACACTAAAGATGTGGCCAAGAGACTGTGTGATAAGGAGATTAATAGAGATAGGAACCAAGGACTTTATCAGCTATCTCAACAAAGCCTAGAAAAGGAGAAAGGATCAGAGCAGCAGAAACTCTGCCAGTTACAACTAATGGAAACAGAAAAGGGCAACAGAGTCTTCACCACCAGACTGGAGGATGGTCTAACTACAACAGAATCTTCAAAACCAGTGCAGAAGGACTATAGAGGCAATTCAGAGTTTGCCCAGGTTTTACATGCTACAATGCAGTGTATGTGGGTTCCAGGGGTAATTCTTCCTCACTCCCAAACAGCAGGGCAAGTACCCAGAAGACCTCTGTGAACACAGCAACCCCACAGAGAACCATAGCATGAGAAGTACCACCAGGAGGGCGACAGGGTGATCATTGCTCCAATGGCTTGATTCTCTGAGAGTGAAGCCCCAAGGCATCTCTGATTCTCATGCTCTTTGCTGTGCTGGGTTGGGGCTGCTTGGAACCCACCATCTTTTCCTCCTTTTCTCTTTCTGCCTGTCAGGATGGAAATGTGTGTCCCATGTTCATCCTTCCCCTGTTTTTTGGAAGTGCTTAATTTGTTTGGTTTCAGGCGGTTCACAGCTGAAGAGGAATTCAGCCTCAGGTTCACTCTCACTCATATCTGATTGACTTGGTAATTAGACAAAACTTTGGACTCGAGATTTTAGACTTGATACTGAAGTAAGTTTAAGCATTTGGGGTTGCTGGGATGGGGAAAAGTTCACGCACGTGAGAAGGATGTAATTTTGAGGTAGACCAGGAAGAAGGCAATCTCTGAATGCTTTTGTCTCCCCAAATGATCTGCTGAGATCGTAGCTACTGCTGTGATGGTCTTAGGAAGTGAGGGATTTGGAAGATGGGAGATAACAAGAGTAGAAACCTTACAAGTTCAATAAGTGTCTTTACAAAGGAGACACCACAGAGCAATTCTGTTCTTTGCCCACTTTGTGAGGACTAAGTGACAGGATGACAGTCTAAAGGCCTGGGAGAAAGCCTTCTCAGAATCAGTCCAGGGCTGTGTCCCCATCTCAGCCTAAAGGGGAGGGGGAATAAACTCCTGCTCCTCTTAAGTCATTTGGTATTTATGACAGTGGCCCAAACAGACTAAGTCATTGTTGCTGTGGATTGAATGCGTTGCAAGACTAACTACCAGTGCCTCTGAGGGGACCGTAATTGAAAATACAGGCCTTGCACATGTCAAGAGTTTTGAGAGTGGATCCTTAATTCAATGTGACTTATGCTCTTAGGAGAAGAGGAAAGATTAAAGAGAAGATAATGATGCATGGCACTCTGTTGAGGAAATCAATGCCAGGAATGGCCCAGCCAACACCAGACGTTGGGAGAAGCAACTAAATGGGTCTCAGAATCTTGGCAGCTTTCGATTTCTGACCTCCAGAACTGTTAGGTAATATATTCCATTGTTTCAAGCCACTTGATTCTTAGTAGTTCTGTTATTACAGGCCTAGGAAGCACACAGATGTCATTGTGAGAGGGTAGGCACTGGAGAGCCAAGTCTAAAGCTATGTGCGTGCGCGCGCGCGCGCGCGCGCACACACACACACACACACACACACACACACACACACACTATGAAAATGAGTGATGAAAATTTAATAAAAATCTACCTGAGGCATGCAGAGCAATGTTGGGTGATTGGGTACATGTATGGTCCGAGAAAGAGAAGATAAATGGACAGAAAATAATTGAATAAATAATGCCAAACATTTCCCAAATTTATGGTGAATTATAAACTTACAAACCAAAAAGTCCAACAAATTCAAATAAGATGAGCATAAAGAAACCCATACCAGGATTCGATATCAAATTATCAATTGGTCTAAAAAATAGTCGCAATAAAGAGAAATGTTCAATTCAACCAGGAGAGTGAAAGACATTGACTTAGAGAGGAATAAAGGTGATAGTTCTGTTTCTCACTGTACAAAATGCATACCTGTGGGAGGCAGTTGAGTAATAAGTTCATCAAGAGAGCTGGGGAGACAGCTCAGGGGCTAAGACCATTTGCTATGTAGAGAAGAGAATCTGAGTTCAAGTCCCCAGTATCACATAAAAGCCCTTCATGACCACACATGCCTGTAACCTCAGCATTGGAGGCTAAGGACAGATCCTATGAGGCCTCTGGCCAGGCAACCTGGCCAAAACCATCAGCTCCACATTCAGTGAGAGACCCTTCTTTAAAAACAAGGCAAAGAATGACAGAGATTCCTCCTCTGGTCTCTGCATGTGTATGTCTGGACTACACACATGTGCACACCACTCAAACACCACACATCATACAGCATAGCCAGAGATGCTACCTACTGAAAATTTTGAAAAATATTTCTAGCAAAGTCGAGAAGATATGTCCTCTGCCTACATGAATTCTAAGAAATACTGCAAGGAGTTACTCCGACAGAAGAAAATGGAATCATATGAAAATCTAGACTTTTGTACAGCGGGGAAATACATGCTGGGTAAATATAAACATGTTTTCTTAATTGTTATTCCTTTAAAACCAACAGATATTGTTGCATTAGTTCATTTTCTGTTGGTATAACAAAATACTTAAGCCTGAGTACTTTATGAAGAGAAATGTGTTTAGCATGCAGCATTGAAGGCTGTGAAAAAAAAAAAAAAAAAACTTTGGTCACCAACTTAATTGAACTCCTGGGAGAGTACAGCAGATCTCCGGGATTGTCAGTAAGGATGTTTCCAGGGAGACTTAGTGGAAAGTCCCACTCTGAATGTGAGCAGCACTGCCCCACTGCTGAGAGCCATGAGCAAACAAAGGGGTAGATGGAAACCAGAAAGTGTTCTTTCTGCTTCCTGGCCAGCCTGGTATGAACCTGGTGTGAGCCTCTCCTTCTTTCTGTAAGTTGCTTTTGTCAAATACATTGTTGAAGGTTCAGCCTCACCTGTCTGCTGTCAGGTAATTACAATAAAGGGTACATGGCAGAAGCTAGTGTAAGATAAATCAGGAAGGCAGACAGATTCAGGGCCACTCATTCTCTTTGGATAATAACTCACTCTCAGATAACTAACCAGCGTCCCAAGAGAGTGGCATTCATTGCCTCAAAGGGTGGTACTCCTTGGGGACACAATCACCACTGGGAACCAAGTTTCTATTACAAGTGCCTCCAAGGGGCACATTCAAACCACATCCCACTATACGAGCCATGCATCAGAGGCCAAAGGCTGCTGCCTGATTTTGACCACTGCTGGGTTACTGAGCAGTTTTGTGTCTCTGTTCTCTGGAGGCTGCTGACCTATGGCTTCTTTTTTCTGCACTGTTCCTTATCTGGCTCTGGTATCTGGGCAAAGCTGACTCTGTAACGTGAGTCTTGAGGTGCTTGTTGCATCTTCTTCCGTGTGGGGAAGAGTTCAGGAGAATTTACAGATGGTTTTTTAGAGTCTGGTTCTAGACTTGGCCTTCCTGATGCAATCTACCCAAGCTGAGTCATAAAGCAACAGGAAATTTGACCAAAATAGAACGACAGATAATGAGATTGGATCAGCAAACAGTCTCCCCAGCAGGAAAACTCCAGAATCTGATGGCTCCATTGCCTACTCTGAGTTTTCTACTGCTTTGTACTGAATTGCTGTAAACTGTATCGAGTTTTGAGATAATCAACCCAGTTTATTATTTGACAGTTTTAGTGGGTCTGGAGCTTGGTACGTTTCAGCTGGGTCTTTTGTTCACAGTTGTAATCGTCTGGAATGAGATGCCAGCTGGGATTGCGGCCTCATCCAAAACTTGGGATCCTCTTCTGAGTTCACTAATTGTGGGAGAGAATCAGTTCTTCATAAAGCTCAGATCCCAGTTTTCTACTGGCTAGCTGCCAGGGCTCTCTCAGATGCTAGGAGAGCCACCCTGTCTCTCCCACCACACAGCTCTCTCTGTAACATGGCCATTTGCCTTACAGCCAATGGGATGCTCTTCTCTTCAGCTCCCTCGCTCCGGTCTGTTAAGGAGTGGCTGGTTGTCCTTTGGTAGTGCACACTACTAATCAAGGCAGTGGCCTTCCTGCCGTGTTCACGGCTTCTGTCTAGACACAATGTTGTCCTTAGCACTAAGTCCATCAGGGAGTCACAAAGATTAGAAGATGTGGAGAATTTGGATAGAAGAGAAAAACAAAAAGATCATGAAGCCAGGGTATCACATGGATTCTTAGATGCATGTTTGTGGACTGAGACCTAAAATGGGCCCAGCCAAGATTCAAGCCCAGAGAAATGGTGGAAAATGGCACCATTACAGTTGAACAATGTGTGTGTGGGGGGGGGGATGTCCTTCTGTATATGTTTCTCTTATTGGCTGATGAATAAAACAGTTTGTCCAATAGCCAGGCAGAAAGCATGGTGGGGCTACCAGACCATGAGAAGGCTGGGGAGAGGAAGGCAGGGACACCATGCTGCCCAAGAAGTAACATGCCAGATTATGGGTAAGCCACAGCCTTGTGGCAATACATAGATTAATAGAAATGGGTTAAAAATTAGGACAGAGCTAGCCAGTAAGAAGCCCTAGCTACCAGCCAACAGTTTTATAATTAATATAGCATCTGTGTGTTCATTTGGGGCTAAGTGGCTGTGGGATCAGGTGGAACAAAACCTCCATCTTCAACAATGGGTTAATTAAGATCTGGAGAGCTTTACCACTATACCAAGAACTGCACTCAAGAGAAAGGCCGAAGGACAATACAGGTGCACAGACTTTTGGTAAGAAAGACAGTGATGGTCAATTTTGATTTTCAGCACAATTAAGAAACACCTATTTTTTTTATTTTATCAAGGAACACCTTTGGTTATATGTCTCTGAGGGCATGTTGCATATGTCTGTGAGGGCATGTCTGTAGAGGGATAACTGAGGGAAGGGAGACAGGAAGAGACCCACCCTGAGAACCATCTCATGGGCTCGAATGCAGTATTAGAAAAAGCTAACGCAACAGCGGTGCTCCCGTTTCTGTGCCTCCTGGTCACCTGGATGTGAGCAGGCAGCCTCTCACCTCGCACTTCAGCTGTCACCAGCTGTCACCACAAAGAGCCGCTCCCACCATTCAGTAGGACCCACTGTACTCTCCACCCAGGGCCACAGAAAACTCCCACTCCCCTAAGTTGCTTCTTGTCAGATATTTTGCCGCAGAAACAAGACTCTGACAAAGCACAGCGATACAACGAAAGATTATTTAGAACGAGAAGTCAATGAAACCTGTCACGGTAGCCAGACCTCATCTGTTCGGTGGTGAGACAGGAAGTCAAGGGAGGGGAGAATGAGCTAAGGAGAGTCTGTGACATTTTTCGTCCTTTCCATATACGGATCTCCTTAGCCCACAATGTCCTCGATTTTACAGCCTTGCTTATGGCTCTGTATTCTAGGAACCCGTGCCTGCTTGTGCACCGACCTGGATAGTTCATAATAAAAAAATATCTACCACTTATAGAGCGCTAATTTTCACAACCTACCATCTCATACCCACCATGCTAATACATAAATAGAAGATGTTGAGTAACTTGCAAGGCTAATGAATACAAACTCCTCAATTGAATTCAGGCCTTTCTCCCTCCTCATGGTATGGTGCACTGCCTTCATAAACTATTGAGGCCATTAGGTAGGTATAAAGGGTACTGTAAGGACTTGTTTGGCTTCTAATTGCTTGGTTTCATATTCTTTCTTTCTCCAGAAGGAGTCTGATCCAGAGAATGCCATCTGGGAGAGGGCTGAAAGCGTGGAGCTCCGTCTCCTCACTTGAGACTGAAGATGAGATCAAATTCCAGTGGCCGCAGAGGTGAGGCTCCTACAACACCAAGAAGAATGGCTGTTTCAAGGAAATTCTTCGACAAACATCAGTCCCCTTCTTCCCTTTTTCTTCCCCTTGCTTCTCTCCTACATCTAATAGTTTAATAAGTCAGGGTCTCCCTGTTTCAGGTGGTGTTAAGGTAGACTCACATTCATTCATTCATTCATTCATTCATTCATTCGGAGACAAGCAGCAAGCTCACCGATCCACATGCCCCCAAAAGGCTTCAGGAAAGAAACCAGTAAATACCACACTTTTAGGAAAGAGGGGAGGATCTGGCAGAGATGTTGTTTGAAAGGAACAGGAAACTAATGTCAAGAAGGGGAAATGCATGGGCTCTCTGTCAATAATCTTTCAAAGTGACCCTAGCGTTTGAAACAATCTGTGGTCTGATTTACCCAGATAATTACATTGGTTCTGCATCTGGCGTATCAGAGGACACAGGGCTGTGGTTCTGCGGACTTAACTGCCCTTTGCAAACTGACTTTTCTCCCAGAATGAACTACACAGCAGTAGCTCCATCCTAGCTCTACCAGGAGGGGACTCTACTGTACCCCTGCTAGCTGACAAGTCCAGACTCAGCCTCTGTGCCCCATAAGTCTAGACGTGTATGGGTTCATCTCCAAACACTGGCATGCCTGCTCCGTCGATTAGAGTGTTAGGCAAGGGAGCCACCAGTAAACCCCAGCAGGATTAGGTAGCTCTGTGTGTCTTCACATCCACTTTTAACATCACCATTATTTCGACCGAAAGCCCTAGTTATTAGTTTTATTAAAAGAGGGGCAAGAAGGAGGTGAAGGAGAAGCCACAGGCTTGTTTGCCCGGGCACGTTACTACAAGCCCCTCCTCAGTTCTCTTGATTTAAGGGACATTCTCAAAGGGAGAGGAAAGGCGTTTGGGGTTGTATGGAAAATTTGACTCAACCCAAAAACCCAGCCAACACCACAAAGTGGAGTGGAGTCAAATCAGATAAATAGAAAAAGGAAAAGAATATAAAGTATCTCTGAATGACAGTATCAAAAAGGTTAAACGGCTTAGCTGAGCTGGTCCAGGACACATGGATTCCAGTCTTGCATTCTCCTGGGAAGGCGCTTAGGTATTGACTGTAGGGTGCCTCCCGTGCCCAACAGAAACACAATCAAAACGTTCAAACCTTATATGTGGCTCTGGGTTCAGTGTCTTGAACTACCAAAAATAATGTTTGTAATAAGTCGCCCACATCTCCCGCTTATTATTCATGTAACCTAGATATCTCATGAAAACAAAATGTCCAGGGCTGCACCGCCAGCGAGCGTGTGGAAACACCCCAACAGCCCCTGTCTTTGTGTCTTTGATATGCTGTGTTGTCTTTTTGCTAGAATGGAAAAGGCTTAGTCCACTTTAGTAAGTAAACAGCAGCTGCCTTGGACACCTTCACCCGTGTGTTTGACAGAGCCCAGACTTGGATCCCGATAGAATGTGGAGGTGTTTGATGGACTAGCGGAAGGCGGCTTCGATGACCATTAGAAAGAGCTGGGTCAGATGAGGATTCCAGCCGGCGATGCATTCTGACACTTTCCACTCAAAGCACCCCAACATTTAGTTGCGTTCTTGCACTTTCTATGTTTATACTTTTTTTCCTCTGAAAATCTTTAGTTGGCAAAATGGTGTTCTTGCAAGACATATTACCTATGTATGACCTGGAAATGGTAACATTTGTAATAATATATCTTGAAAGGTTCACCTAAGGAGAAATCAAAGTGAACCAAACACTTTTCAAACCTCAAAAATAGATGACAGATAGATAGACAGACAGACAGATAAAATTTGGTTTAGCAAGCATTTGGGGGTCAATACTTGGAGACGAGAAACAAGATAAAATTTGAAGACCCCCAAGTCAAGCTGCTTATCTTGTGCCAGAGCCAAGTTGGTATTTTTCAAACAACAGTGAATATACATTGAACAAGGAAAAGGAAGACATAAAAGCTAGCTCCATTTTCCACTTAATTGGTCGGGGCCTAAGAAGCAGAGTCTAGAGGTTTTCAAGAGCTCACCAGCCCCTGTGCTAAGTTGAGGCCCAGACCTGGGCCTCTAAGTTGAGGCCCAGACCTGACTTACTGAACACTTGCCCATTTCAGCAAAACTCATGATGGAATTGGCTTTCCTGTGTCCTCTGTAACTAACCTGCTTTCCTGATCACTCAGGCCTTTCTGAGCTCTAACCAGCATCTTAAGCCTTTAATCCCGAAGGCTGGAATCACATCTGCAGCCATGCTGCATGACCGGCCTCCAGCTTTGCCTTCCACCCTGCAGAGTGAGGAAGTTTCTGTTTCTGACATGTTTCTAGGTTGGCAAATTTACAAGTTTTGCTTCTCTTCTTTATATGGCTTTGTTTTTGGGTCTTTCTTCCCTTAATAACGGGCTTAACACACTTTCTGTGCAATGGAAAGGTCGAACAAACAGGCTCTCCACAAACGATCCATAGCAGCCAGCAGCCAGCAGGCAGTCACACCATGAGCATGCAGACAGACGTGTGGAAGCACACGTGGAGAATGATGCCCAGGAGTAAGCAGCCCTGACAGTAGAGCCATGGCTGGGAAAAGGGAAGAGGGCATGAGACATGGAGACTGCAGAGAGTGGCCAAGCTACAGAAAAACACCAGGGCAACTGGAGGAGAGATCTGCTTCCCTGCTGTGCCACAAGAGCACCCTGAGGAAGTGGAGCTTTGCCAAGACTGCACACAAGTCCAAGTCGTTAGGTGGGGTGTGAAGGAGCATGCCTGTAGCCCCATCACTTGGGAGGCCGAGGGCAAGAGGACTGCTGTAAGTTCTAAGCCTGTATGAGCTATATAGTAAGTCTTAGGCCAGCCTGGGCTACAAAGTGAGACTGTCTCAAAACAAATAAACTAAGCCCCAAAACACTAACTAACAATAGGGAAACAATAATTAAATTTTATAAAAATCACAGTTACAGGGTCTGACCTAAACAGTTTAAACAACAGACCATTACAGTTTGTTCATGTATTATTGATTCTTAAAAATTTCTTATCATATTCTAATTTAGTGTGTGTGTGTGTGTGTGTGTGTGTGTGTGTGTAAATCTGAGGAAAATCTGTAGGAGAAAGTTCTCTCCTTCCACCATGTAGGACTTGGGGGTTGAACTCAGGCTTGTTTCAAGTCAGTCTCAAAGCACAGCCATCAACTGGGACTGATGACACACAATTAAGTTTAAGGACTCCCAAACAGGAGTGAAGCCGTGGTCATGTGAGGTATGTGCTCACAATCCAGTTTGCTAAGACTGTATTATATAATCCCATGTTGAACTGTGAAAAACTGCCACTCTGATTATTTTTACCTACAAAAAACAAGGGGCAATTTCATATGGTTCTTTTTATATCTATAAATAGAATAGTGTAAAGATTTTCTTTGGACTTGAACATCCGTCTAATCCTGTGGAGTTTTCAGATTCACTGCATTTAAAAGCTAAACACTCAGGTATCTGTTTTTCCTAGAGATCTCCCATTTACATGGGTATCAGGTGTCCTGTAGATATCCAGCCTCTCATGCCAAGTGGTGGGAAGATTTAACTCTAGTATGAAATCAAGGATGTGATTTCTGGTTAAGCCAGCAAACATTTTGCACAGGAAATGCTTCATGTTTAGTGGCCATGTCCCATGTTTCTTGCCCTAACAGCAAACAAGATTATCTCTTGGTCCAAAGGAAAATGAAGAATGAAAATAAACTGTTCACTTCTGAAAGAGCCATTTCCCCTTCCCAGTGTTTAAGAAAGTCGCTTTATTCGGCAACATCTTTCTAGTAGGTAAGAGGGTGTAAGTCAAGCCTCACTTGGTCCCTCTAAGCTCTGTACCTTCAGAGGGGATTGAACACCATGACTCAGCCCCCTCTGCTTTATGCTCTGTTCTTGAATCCTGGATGTATGACTTCCGAATACTCTTGGAACTGTTGGAGTACCTAACGGGTTAGCACCAGGCTTGCTGCATTCTGCTTGAATTTACCCAAGCCGTTAAAAGCACACAAATATGGAGCAATGAGCTGAAAGTATAGCAGACATACATCTGCTGCAGAAAACTCCCTATATACTACTTTTATATAAATGATGGCCAATCGTGCAAACAGAGACAAGCCACTTAATAATTTCCAGTCCAGCAAACTTCTGCCCAACTTTAAAATAAAGTTTTTTATTCTCCTCTCATCAGAAGTTTAGGATGCAGCAAGCCTAATGAGAATGAGTTACCAGAAGGAGTAAGGCGTGTCCGCCGTCAACAGCACCACTAACCATGTCCATCAAGTGGTGTAGAGATTAAGAATAAAGAGGTTCATAGTAACTTTAAGGCAACATTCTCAGGGGAAAAATAATTTCCAAATGTCTGGACTGCAAATTGGCAAGAACTGGGACCAAGTCCTGATCCTTCCACCGATAAGCTCCAGGACGCAGAGCAGTCAGCTTCTCCCTCCCTGAAGGTCTTGAGATCCGTGTTTTATCTGGATCTTTCTATGTCATAGTCATCACAGTTTCCCAAGAATAAAGTGGGATTATATGGCAGCTTAGATTCCTTCCAAAGGTGTCATCGTTTCTTTCTTCTTAATTAGCTGATCTTGTTTGCCAATTTCTCCCCAAGGCATCATATTTATTCCAGCAAATTCCTATTTAAAAGGCTCACACGTTAATGATTCTGTATGCTTTATCTGGATTGGTAAATTTAAACCCCCATCCAGTAATTTATGTTTTATTAAAACCAATTCGGTTGAAGAGTTCTACCCCAAAAGCCCACAACTAAGTTTCTTGAGGGCAAAATGCAGATAAAAGGCTGCATCAAATCCCACCCGTGCAAACAAACATGCATGCATGTGTACACTGTGCGTGTTTGCACAATGGCAGGGAGACCACTGTGGCGTGAGGTAGGAAGGAACTCCAGGGAGACCATTAGGACAACTCTATTCTGGAGTAAAATTTTCAGAGACAGGCCAGAAGTAGCTGGCGATCAGTGATGCCCAACCACACAGAACTGACTATCTCACATTCTGCCTCGTGTTAGGAGGAAGAGAGGAGTTCATCTTGAGTCAGATGTGCCAACCACATCGGTAATCCCAGTACTCATCGGCAGGAGGATGCCCGAAAATTCAAGTCCAGCCTGGTCTACACAGTGAGTGCTGAGCCAGCCAGAGCTACATAGCAGGACTCTGTATAAAATCAAAACCAGCAAAGGAAAGAAACATGTGCTCTGTCATCCACAGGTTCGGAAGATGCTTTTAAAAACATACAAGACGAGCCAGGACAGAAAGATGAAAGGCCTAGGGAAATGGCTGCAAAGATGAACACATTCTTAAAAAGGAGGAAAGATGGCTAGGGAAGAGAACCCGGGAAGGATAAAGAGGGGAACCAAGAAATAAAAAAAAAGAAATAGAAATACAAAGACAAGAGGGGGAAACTGAAACATTAAGGAAAGAAAACACATACAGGAAAAGACCAGTGAATGGAGAAAAACTCTGCCTCGTAGCCCTGCCTTTCCTGGCCGTGACCACAGCACAGAAGAATTCTAAAGTCCTTCCACAGTTCAAACCTGCATGTTTCTTACTCATCTTTTCTTTCTCTCAAAATATCAAAAGGACAATCCACTCTGACCTAATGGAAGCTCTTGCTGATGTCCGATTGCCTGCCTGCCTTGTACACACTGTTTCTCTTGGGTGACAGTCCTCTGTGGTAAGTAAACAATACTGTAATGAGCAACACAGTAAGTTCGAGAAATACCCAGATTGGAGGACTGGGGGAGAGAGTGGGCTGTGGGCACTTTCTATTGCTTTGGCCTTCAACCTGATGCCTCCATTACTAAGAATGGATCTTGATGTCCCTTTTCAAGGTGTTGCATTAGCAAGCATACGGTGACTGTCCAGACTGCCCACCTACACTGCCCACCTAAATGAACTTTAAATGCGAATTTCCAGCTACCAAAGTGTCCCTGGGCTGCTTGTCACTGTTTCCACATATCTGTATATATGCACATATACAGGAAAGGGAAAAAGATATTCAATGAGATGAAATATTCACTTTAATTATTAAGTTCTTATAAAGGGTAATGGGCTCTTTGTACTATCCCTGCAACTTTTCTATAATTTAAAAAAATATATAATGAAGTAGGAAGCTCTGAAAAGTTATCACAGAATGGAGAGACTAACCAGTTCCTTAAACAAACAGCCTATTGTGTGCTTAACCACTCCTGACCACGCTGACATCAAAGTTTTCATCCTGCCATTAGCAGAATGCAGAGTGGAACAGGAAGGCAAAGGGTCCGGTGTGTGCTTTGGAAGCTTCCTGTCGGCTTTCAGGAGTGATTGCAAGCCCTGTCATCACTTGAAGGCACCATTTCTCTATCTTAAAAAATCTCAAGCTTCAAACAAAAATCTTTTGTTCCCAGTTCTAATCAGCTTGACTCGGTGTGTCGACAGCTGCTGCCGAGGACCAAGAACTAAAGTCGAGGAGGGAAGCTGGGACTCTCCAGGTGGCTAGGTGTCCCCAGTTGTGGGAGACACTGGCAACACATTCCTCAGTGGCACGGCAAGCTCGATGCTTTATGGTTTCTCCTGGCAGTTTGGGAAGGCTCTCCCAAGCCCTGAGGGACATGATGTTGAATTACCTCTCAGAAAGCCAGCAGTGGTATTTTTCGGTCATGGCCAGATTATACGCACAGGCATGGATCACACCTTCTCACGAAAGTGAGTTTCTGGGGCTCATGACTCATTGTGTCTTCTATTCAGATAGGTAGCTTATTGTGTTTGGCTGAGACACAAAAACAGGTGGCTTAACTGGTGGCACAAACATGTGGTCTTTGTCCATAGCCCAAAGGTGATCACCTGCTGGGTCCTCTATGGAATTTCCACTCCCTGTGAGAATCAAAAACATAATTGGGGGGAAAAAAAGATGCTGAGATGCTGTTGTTCTCCAGGTGTTTCTTTGAGTTGGCCAACTTCCGCCCTCTCTGTTGTGTTTCCCAGGGATGGGAGGTTTGCACTGGGCTGGTAAGTAGTGGGGTAAGCCTAGATCAGTGAAAGGGAAGCAATGCAACCAGTTAGACTGGAGATCTTGTTCTGGGCTCCCTAGACAACTTCCCATCTGTCTCAAGAGTGGATCCTTCGAGGAGTCAGTACAGGATGGAGATGCCTCATCCGTTCATCAGCCTGCACCTTGCCCTACGTTTTAGCATCTGCTGATTAATGTGCCATTCAAGAGAATCTTCTGTATTTCACTGATCCCATCTGCTCTTCTCCTGTATATCTGTAAAACTGAGGCAGTTCTATCTGCTCCTACCCAAGGCTGAGTATCAATGTAACTTTTATGTTGTGTGTTTCTTGTTCTGTGTTGCGTTTACATGTTTGTAAGTGCATGCACACATGGAGTCCAGGGGTCCACCTCAACTGTCTTCCTCAATTGTCTACACCCTATTTTTTTTGAGGCAGTCTGATAGGGGATGTCCTTCTGTGAATATGCTTCTCTTATTGGTTGATGAATAAAACAATGTTGGCCAATAAGGTAGGATGATAGGCAGGACTAGGAGAAGAGGAGAATTCTGGGAAGTATAGGCAGGGAGGGGTAGCCATGTGAGCCACCAAAGGAGTTAAGAGGTCTGGACCCTTCTCTGGTAAGATAAAACCATGTGGAAATACTTAGATTAATAGAAATGGGTTAATAATTAAGACAGAGCTAGCCAATAAGAAGCCCTAGTCATCAGTCAACAGTTTTATAATTAATATAGTGTCTCTGTGTGTTTATTTGGGGCTGAAGTGGTTGTGGGACCAGGTGGGGTGGAAAATTGCTTCAACAGCAGTCTCTCAGTTAACCTTGAACTCACCAACTGCACTGGGCCGACTAGCCATACTTCCCCACACTCATCACTCTGCTTCCCCAGTCCTGGGCTCACAGGCATGCAACAGCATGCCTGGCTTTTTATGTGGACAACATGGGTCCAACACTCAGGGCCTCACCCATCCCAGAACGCATGTTGCCTATTAAACCATCTCCCAGCCCTTGACAGCATTTTTTTTTTTTTTAACATTTCAATATATATTGGTCAGGTCTTGGCAGCAAACAGAAGAAATACATTCCAAATTCAAAAAGAAAGGAATTGATTAGAAGAAAATGTTATTTAAAAGACATGATCAATACAAGGGCTGGAGAAATAAAATCTTGGAGAAACACAGACTAGAACTGAGGAGGAAGACCATTCAGCGGACGGCGAATTAATCTACATGTGGACCCTGTAGAGACACGTTCACTAACATTTCCACCCCAACCACTACTGGATACCATGGCAACTGCTGTCTCTTGTGTAGACACAATTTCTGAGAGCCCTTGCATCAGTCTTCCAAATCCTCTTACAGGTAGAGAATCCAGGTAGCTTGACTTAGGTCATAAAGGTCAGCCCTTGCCAACTGGGCCCTAATGGAAGGTAGGACTAAGGGGAACAAACGCAAATGCCAAAACATTTTAAAATGTTCAAGATAACAAAATGTGAGAAGAAGTTAAGAAATCTTAACTTTTACCAGTTCTCAAAGAAGCTGAGCCCTCTCACAGACCAGCACCTTTGGCTCACTGAATCTGTCCTTGTTTTCGTTATTGCTTTTATCTTTCCTGTGTCCACTCCAAAACAAGGTAAAAGTCTTTTCAGTCACTGATCTTAATTTACTAAAATGTTTTTAAATTTAAATCTACTTATCATCATTTTCTGAGCTAAAGAATGAAAATAAATGTATTTAACCAGAAACACATTAACTGGCTTCCTTCTCTGTTTTCTCCCTCTGCAGTTGTGGGATTATCATGTTTCCAAATAAGAAGCACCTGGCTGGTTCTTTCCTTAAGGTTAATTAATAACCCTTGGAGAGAAAAATAAGCCAATATATTCCATTTAATATGGATTTCCCTGACATGAGGATGAGGCCTCAAAAATACCTTTGTTTTCATGTTGCTAAAAGAAGACAGATACTTGGATATCAGTTTTACAGCTGCCGTTCCTCCTTGGGAGGCAGCAAGGACATAGTGCACGCCCCCTAGGACACTAAGCATGCTCGGGGCAAAAAGGCAGAAGCTCTAACTGTGCCTGCAGCCTGCCATCTTACAGAGATACTAAGGAAGAGTGGCGTGCCTTCTTTCCGGGTAAGTAATTGGAAACGGAGTAGGGAAGTCACTCAGAGTCAGGGAGCAGTGCACAAGAAAGATGGATTTAAGTGCAAACTCCGTAAACCACAGTTTTGACTCAGACCCCTAAGGATGCAATGTTAAAACCCAGACAGGACTGCTGTTCAGGCCACAGTGCCCCTCTCACAGACGCTGACGCTCACCTACTGAGGGCCCTGTCTGAACCTCCAGATGACAGATTTACCACACCCAGGGTTTCTCGCCTGGAAACAAAAGTGTACATCACTCACATCTCTCGGAGGCTTTGGCAGCCACACTGCCTGCTCCCTTCCTCTCTTTCCTGCCTCCTGTCTGGGGTTAGAGTCCTGGCTGCAGGTTCACGCTGTGAAACAACCCATCACAAGAGAACCCTCCTAAGTCCTGCTTCTTCTCTTCAGAGCCCCTCACTCATTACCATCTCTGGTAATGAGGCCTAAACTTCCCTGAATATCTGCCGTCAGGTGGCTGCCTGTATGTTCATGGTGCTAATGACTCTTCAAATAGTTTTCTTACCCCCAACAATTGTCTCGGTGTCCCTACCAAGTCCACATTGAACATCTTTCAATGCCATGACACCTTGGAATGGGACTTGCCTTCAATCTTCTATCCTCTATCCATCTTCTGCCATCTGACATTGATCTGTCATTGTCTACATCCGTGTGCTCACTGCTATGTCTTGTTTCACCCATCACCTATCTATCTATCTATCTATCTATTCATCACGTATTTGTCTCCAATGTCTTCTTTATAGCCAGGAATGTCTATATTTACCGTTTCCACTTTACCAGGATGACCAGTGTGACCATGAATGCCAGGACAGCTGCTGTCATGATCATCTGCCTTGCCTTCATTCACAAAGCATATTTTATCAATGGCATTTTGGATTCAGACCATCGAAAGAGGAAATCAGGTCACAAATTCTAAATACCATATTAACTTTGAAGTCCTAGGAAGGGGGAATTATTTTTTCCTTTATTTTAATGTTTAGAAAAAGCATGTCCTTGGTATAAATAATTTAGAAAATATATGATAATATATAAGAACAATTAGAATCGTTCGTTGGTGAGATGGGTTTGATTGGGTTAGTCTCCAAATTAGCTTCTTAACATAGCTCAGCATTATCCAATGAGTCTGAATTGGAGGATTGTTGAGGCGATGCTGGCCTGTGGGCACATCTGTGGATGCATTTTCTTGATTGCTAATTGATGTAGAAGGGGCCCAGTCCACCGTGGGGAGTACCCTCCCTAGGCAGGGAGTCCTGGGTTGTATAAGAGAGTGAGCTGAGCAGAAACCAGGGGGCTAACCAGCAAGCCACTGCCTTCAAGCTTTCTGCTTTAGTTCCTGCCCTGCTTTCCCTCAGTGATGAGTCTTGAACTAAAGTACAAACCAAGCCCTTTCCACCCCTAGTTGCTGTTGGTCAGTGTTTTAATCATAACACAGAAAAAACAAACCAGAACAGTTTTTGTTTGTAAATAGCAAGTAAATAAACAAATCACAAGACTTTAATTCTGTACAAACATTCCCAGGACCACACCAAGCCCTGGACTCTTGCAGCAGAATTGAAACCTGAACCTAGATGTGAGCCTTACCAGAGCCTAAGTCAGAAACTCGATGTTCACTGAGTCCCATTTGATTAACCTGTCTCACCTGATTTGATTACATAGCAAAGTTAATGAGAGACAGATATACCTCAAGCAATGGAGGCCACCAATTATCCTTTGTTCGTTGATCAGAAGGCCCATAGAGGCCAGTCCTTCTCCTACCATAGGAGGGTGTGTGTGGCTGGGACAGGTTCATTTATCCAATTCAATTAACATTGACTGAAAACCAATTATGAGCAGGGGCTGGAAAGCTTTACAGATGCTGGAGCAGGACAGACAGAAGTTGCTTATAAAGGAAAACAGAATGTAAAATGTGTTCTGAAAACCACCGTTCTTCTATCCAGTCATCTTAAAGGGCTGTCTGGCTATCTGCACTTTGTGATTTACACCAAGACTAGGGTGACAGCCACTCTGTTGTGATCCGCTTCAGGTAATGACCAGTGAGACCCTGTGTTGAAGAGCTTGACATTACAGAGGGGCAGGTTCAACCTAGAGTTGCACTCAGGCAGAAAGCTGCATGTTGGCAGGTCCTTTACACTCTTTGATCCAAGATAGGGGTCAGTGAGCAGGATTTCTTTTACCCACTTGGAAGACACCAGTCCACCTGAACAGGGGTCTCTGAACATGTGGCTTTCTCCCAGCAGTCTTGGGAAGTACTACACCTGTCCCATGAGCCTTTTGGATGCCTTTGCTCCTAGGTGTCCTAGATCACATTTTAAGATGATTTCTGGGTGTAGCTCTTTTCTTCCATCTTAGTTAATACAACACACCCAGATTGCCACACAGAGCTCCTAAGATCAAAACACTGGATGCCCTTTTGAAAGATCTCTGCCCTTTAGTGAAGTTAGTTTACTTCCTTCTCTGCATTTCCCATGACTGCCCAACAAAGGGCAGTCAAACTTAATTTGGGAACAACAACCTGGCCAGGTGATTTGAATGTACAAACCCTGGATCTCCACCCTTTCATCTCCCGTTGATTTGTTGGATCCCGAGACTATTTGCTCTTCTCTGGGGCCTGCCCTCTGCTTCCTGTGTGAATCAGGTGGAAAGGTAGGACAGTCAGTGGTGGAATTGTGGGGTGCAGAGGTTTGGCGGGCATCCATTGGCTTTCCCAGTGCATTTCCAGTCACTCACAAAGGGCATGGACAGCCTTCTCTTCTGACTTGCTGCCATGCCTGAGTGACCAAATTGTCACTGTCTGAGAGGTGAATTTCTGTGGAAACAGATACACAACTTCCTCTTTGATTTGGGCAACAAGGACATTCGACCAAAAGCCAATTTCTTTCTTTTATACCCCTCCCATTTTTCTTTTATTGAAAATAGATTTTTTTCATACACTATATTCTAATTATAGTTTCCCTCCTCCAAGGTACTTACTCTCCACCTCCCCTCCCATCCTAATTCATACCCTTCCTGCCTCTCCTTAGAAAACAAACATGCATATAAAGAATAATAAAATAAGATAAGACAAAAACAAACAAACCAAAATAGGACAAAAACAAACAAACAGGGGGAAAAAAGAGCCAAAGAAAAGGGACACAGAGACACACACATTCATACACATAGGAACCCATAAAAACACAAAACTAGAAGCTATAATATGTATGCAAATGGCCTGTAAGGTTAAAAAAATTAAATGCCTTGAGAAAACATGAGACAAAGAACCTCCAAAGATGTCATTGAATTTGTTTTGAGTTGGCCATCTACTGCTGGGCTTCGGCCTGCATTTCAAAGTAGTCTGTA